TATATATATATATATATATATGTGTGTGTGTGTGTGTGTGTGTGTGTGTGTGTATATATATATCATTTTGGCTTTCTGTTCAAATCTTGAACTTGAAAAAATGCTAATCTAGTTTACATAAGATTTTATCTAGCAAAAGCCAATTCTGTTAAAATTTCATTATCAGATTCTCTCTCTATTTTTACATCAAATTTACATATTAAAAATACATATGTTTAGCAAACATTAACTAATTGCTGTTAATGTTTAAAGAAAATAGTTTACCCACCCTCATGTGTTCCATGCCTGTATGACTTCCTTTCCTCTATGAAACATAAAAGAACATATTTTGAGAACTGGTTACCAATATTCTTCAAAAATATCTTCTTTTGTGTTTCACAGAAGACATAAATTCATACAAAGTTTGGAACGCCATAGGGTTGAGTAAATTTTGACAATTTCAATTTTGGATGGAATACCTGGTATTTTATTTTATGTTGCAATTAACTGACATTTTTTGATAGATTTCTATTATCAACTGGTTTTTTAATAACACCAGTCACAATATGCAGTTAGTCATGCAATATCTGATTGAACTAGCTTGAGTTAGGGTTAAATGTGGCGTAAAATGCTGCTTGAGCCATTTGGTTTGAGCATGTAAGTGTGTAAATTCCCCATGTGTAGGCCATCTCCTACCACTTCTATGGACCACAGAACGTAACTTCTCTCATCGTGCAGCAAAAGCAGCGACAGTTGCCTCAGAATGGTGTAGCTTTTGCGCTGTGGGTAGGCTTAATTTTAGTAGCGTGCAGAGTTCATAGCCAGTGCAAGCCGTCTCTGTAAACAGTAGTTCAAGCGATGAGAAATTTCAGACACTTTGACTGTGATCATTTCTTTGTTTGTTTTACAAGGGAAATTTTCTTGAATCAATTGACATGGTTCCAAGTTGGCTCACAATTTTTTTTTACCATAGCAGAAAGGTTTGTTGTTGAGCTCTTTAGTTGCAGTATTGGATGTATGTAGTGCAAAACTCCAGGTTATTAGGCTAGGATAATTAACTGTATAGCAAAGAATTATTATTGCAGTTAATTGCTGGGAATACAGTACCATTTTCCTCAGTAGTTTCGAGTTTCAAGGCCAGTCTCCCAGAGGACTGTAAATGTAACAGCTTTTAATTTTAATAACAATCAAACTACTTGGGATTAGTAAATGTTTACATTATATCGCTAACATGTTAATGCTAACAACAGAAAACCTGTTGCTGTTTCTTCAGGTGAGAAAGCCTGGTTCACTGTTGGTGGTTCTGAATTTATGTAATCCCTTGCTTGTCTTTTACAATTCTGCACTGATCCAACTTGGCAGTCCTCTCTCTCCTCAGGGCATGGGTCACAAAATTAATTCTTTCTTGAGAAAACAAACTGTCCCGAGGTGCTACAGAACTCGCCTTAGGTTTCACATCTAGTATCATACCAGTATTGAGTTAGTGAAGTCTAGCCTGATTAAATATTAAAGGGATGAAGAAAACGTTTCCTGATCATCTTTCTCACGATTTAGGGTAGGATGATATATGTGAATTATGTCAGGCATTTTTAAACAGACATTCCAATGGATTTGTAACAAATTCCAAGTTCCACATCTGAGCTCCTCTCTGTGGATTAATTATCCTTACCTGATATATGAAAACTAACCCCAATGCTTCACCGGGAAACCTCAACTGACGCCTTCAGGACATGGATGACAACTGATTTCCAGCCTCAAAACAAAAGTTAGACCATTTGTTGTGTATTCCACATCAAACTTCAATAGTTAGACCCCCATAGCCTTGTTATAGTGATGGATCACAGTGATCACTCCCAGATCACTTTCCACTAGACCTGGGCATGCAATTGCATCCTCTTCTATAAAGCCTTACAGCCTCAGGCCCTGTTCGCTTGACTGAGCACCTTAGAAGTCATTCCGGTTCCTGGGGTCCTGCTTATACCCCTTTCCATGTATCCTGTGCAAAACTCAGAGACATCTTGCAACCTCAGTTCCTACTTCATGAAAGAATTTAACTTCTAACTTTTCCGGCAATTGAAAGTACCATGGTAGGCACTATTCTTTAAAAGTACCTTTATGTAAATACCAACGTACTTGTTCTTTTGTCTTTTCCTTTGAGATTTGTTTGTCTGTTGAAGACTTACCATGTTGCAGATGACTGCGAGATCTGTTTTCGATTCAACTTTTAAAACCCCAACCATCGGAAGCTGTAGTGGTGGTTTGCTTTGTAGCATCTACATGCGCTGCTGGAATCCTAGAGGCATAAAATGTGGTTGGCCACAGATTCGTATTTGCTGTCTTCTTTAAACATGGCCCACATGGGCCACTTGGATTTTCATTCACCACAACCTTAATGAAGCTGAACCATAAGCCGTTTTGTTTTTAGCTTTTTTTTTTCTCATTTTTATTCTTTTGTCAACTACATGAAAACTGGATTTGTATGGGAATCTTCAGGATTAAAACAAAGTGGACCTCGAAGACACAACACTGCTGAAATGTTTAGTCAGCAGCAACAGCTTAGACATGTTATGTCTAACATCATCAAGTGAAGACTAATAGTTTGACAAATTTTGAGGTTTTGTTTCAGGTGTAACGCATCAAAGCAAAAAGACTTAGGCTTCGGGTAACATGAAAATATTAGCCAGGAATCTGTGAATTAGCTGTAATTCAGCATTTTGAAGGCTGTATTCATAGTGTTACCCCATTTTTTACTGCAACTATTAAGATAATTATTTAATTAAAAATATAGTAAAAATTTTGAAATATTATTACAATTTAAATTAGCTGTTTTCTATTTTAATATATTTTAAAATGTAATTTATTTCTGTGATGGAAAAGTTTAATTTTCAGCAGCAATTAATCCAGTCTTCAGAGTCGCATGATCCTACAGAAATCATTCTAATATACTGTTTTGGTGCTCAAAAACATTTCCCATCACTATTAAAGTTTTAGGATTCTTTAATGAATAGAATAGATATATATATATAAAAAAAATGGTACATCTTTTGTACCGTTATCTTTTTGTAACAAGTTCTTTTCTTTGTATCTGTGTGTCCCAGGGTCCCATGCAAACAGAAGTCCATCTGTGAATGCTACTCCACAAATTCACCGTCGTGAACGACGCTGCTCCTGTGAAAACCTGAAGGACAAAGAATGTGTGTACTTTTGCCACATAGGAATCGTATGGGTCGATACACCCAGGTACAACACCCAAACATTGATTTGTGTATGTATTTGAACAATACATTGAGTAAAGAAGAGAGAAATGGAGGTTGAGATCTGTTGGGGACTGATGCTGGTAACCTGTACACTCTGAAAGCACGTATCTGGTTGTATTTAAGTGTGTGGTCTCATTAATGTGGCTCACGCATGGAGACCTGAGGACGGGCAGACTGCCTTTGGTGAAAAACAACCCAGAAACCAAAGATTGAGGGTCTGGCTCTCGGGAAGTGAATCCTGGCCAAAATTCAAATTCAAAGAAGCACAAGGCTTTCGTTTCTGTTCATGATTTTGAAAAGAGTTCTATATTATGCACAAAAACATATATACATATTTATATACATATATATATATATGTACAGTTGTTGACTGAATGAAATGAATTATTTATTAAATTTGATTATTAAAATCTATATTACAAATTGATAGGTTAGATAAAATATTCACTGTTCTCTTTCAGTCAGGTCATTCCCTATGGCGTGGGCTCACTCCAAATGCGTCTAAGACGAGGTGTGGAGCGATGCCATTGCGCAGACAAGAGAGATACAAAGTGTTTGCGGTTTTGCTCTTACTTGGATCTCCAGCAAGAGTGAGTGTCATTATAAGTTGCCCTTTGGTAAAGATAATTCTGGCATCCAGTTTATGCTTAGAATTAGGACATTATCAAAAGAAAGATTGTAAGAAGTTTTAATTTCATTTCTATCTTGTGTAAATTAAATTGTGGATGTTTGTTAATGAATAATAATACTAATACTAATAATAAATACCTCTCCACTAATCAGACAAGCAGTTTAAATCTATTGGTGGATAAAATTTGATTTCTCAGACAATTGAACCAATTTCTAATCTAATGAATGAACTGAATAGTTATTCTAATGTGAAAAGGCAAATAAAATAAACAAAAACCTAGTCATCGGTGAAACTTATTTTTTCACATGATGGAGTGCGGCTGCAGTATATAATTTTGGTTGTGGTTACTTTCTGGATTTTTAAACTTTGTTAATAGTTCAAACTTGCAATGATGGAAAAATTGCTTACAAACTTACTGTACCTACAATGACAGTAAGGCTAATAAGTAAAGAAAGAGTGGAAGTTAAGCAGAAAATAACTTCAAGTGTCATTATTAAATTCACTGTATTTGACACACATTGTGGCAGCTGGATTGTTTTACTGATGCACTACTTGGTATTCTTTTGCAGAGATGAAAATGCCTCAGTCAAAAGGTACCATCCCAGAAACTACAAAGAACAATACAAGTCTAGATTGCCCCAGAGACCGAGGCGGCACAATCCAATACAAACAACCTGAGAGAAATGGAAAAAAAGCTACGTAGTAACTTCGTAATTGTAATAATAGTATATTATTACTATTTGGGCAGCAAGTCTGGCCATGTGTCTGAATATGTGAGCTGTGACTTGTTTACGTAGTACACTATTAGACACTATCATTTCTATTACTTTGGCTTGTCATGAAATGCTAGCATCTCAATAGTGACAGTACATGAAGCAAATAGGAGTGATACTGTATATTATTTAACTGTCAGTATTTTGTAGAATACTGTAAAACTGTATTGCTTCTTATTGACGTGTAATATATATTGTTTGATGTTTCCAATTTTGCGTATAGTGAGTACATTTGGATATTTATTGAGAACAATAGCGGCTTATGGGAACTTTGTTTATCAGAGAGGTATAGTGTGAGAGAAACCGATAAAACTGTCATTGTGCCCGGAGATCAAACAGGAGTCTCATCATGGGAGAGGGTAATGGCAAAGCTAAATGTTTCCACAGTGCTAGAGGCTAGCAATTTTCTGAATAGCTGCACTCGCCCTTTCTTTTGCTGTTGTTGTTTTCCATGAGGTGATGTGTAAAGCCTTTCTGGTGTAAACTAATATTGTTAGTTGATCTGGTTTCTGAGTGATCACATATTGAAGGATCAACTATGCAGTTATTGTGTATAGTAGTGGGCCTACATCTTTATATAAGGCCGGCTATTTATCTCCATTCATTTTTGGCATCATCAGGAATGCTGGTTTACCTCACAGGAAGGTTTTCACAAGAAACTTCTGGAAGGAATTTGTGGCGCTCTCATATACTACCGGGACAAAGGAACAAACACTCTCTATTCCTGTCCCCCCTGTTTCAGTCAAACGCATTGAGCCAGCCACTAACCACATTGTTAGGTTCTGGGAAACACCCTGACAAAACCCAACAAATGATTAAAGTGGTCATATGACATTGCTAAAAAGAACATTATTTTCTGTAATGCAATGTGTTTATGAATAAAGAATATCTCTTTGGATTTGAGACTTTAGTCTTTGCAACTTTACAGATCTTCTTTATGCACCAAGAGCTTGTAACACTCCAAAGAGAAAGGAAAAATTGAAATCGCATCATATGACCCCTTTAAAGTCAGCTAAAAACAGATTATCAAGATATGGCTACATCACATACCATATATAAATCGCAATTTACTGTATCATGATATTTAATTAGGCTACCTTTTTAATATTGTTTGGGAAGAACATATTAAACAAACAGGAAATATGAAATTGTTTTGACAGAAAATTTGATTTCCAAAACTCTTGCTCTACATTACAGTATATGCGATTTTCACTTAGGCCTATAACAACCCAGAAAACACGGAACGTTCCCCTAACATTAGTATTTGGTTCCCAAAAAAAACGGAACGATCAAAACATTTAGAAATAACAGATCTATAACTTAATGGGAATGTTAGTAAAACGTTCAGTTTTAGAAGAACATATTAGCTTGTTAGCTGGGAATACAGACACAAAATTTCTGAGGCATCCCTAATATTTCAGATTTTCCACCAGAAGCAGAAAATTGTTACTATTCAAACAAATAAGAATGACAAGATGTTTTAAGTGCATTTAATATGCAGGATGTCACATTTTCATAAAGCATCCATGATCACTATACAATGATGATCTACACTGATGACCAGAGCAAACTGAATAGCCCTCGGTAAGCATTTCCTCGGCTGACATTTTCTTCAATGAAGCATAGAAATCTCTTAAAAGCATTTAAAATAAATACCAAGTCAAAACAACAAAGTCATTAAACTACAGCAACAGGAAGATCTGAACATGTTAGATTTGGTGTATAGCTGTTGTTTTTCATTCCATCGTCAAATAGCAGAGGACTGATCTCAATGTTCTGCCCTTCTGTTAGAGCAGTTTTATGAAACTATGCACTGAAACAACTGAACAAGGATCACACTGTAAAAAAAAACAACATTTTCTGTAACATGTTAATCAGTAGTAGATCATGTGAAGACTAAAATAGAGAGAATTTAAATAATGACAAAATAAAAGTATTAAAGGTTCACTAATTTACAGTGAAAATGTACTTAAAGTAAAGAAAGCTAAACCAAGGCAAAATTCACAAGCATGAAAATTCAAGCTCCAACCGTATTTGTTCTTTCAGTCCCATTCTGAGGAACTAACTAGTACTCCTCATGTTAGTCAGTCAGTCTTTGGTTGTGAAATGGTCCCATTTTTTCTGCCGTAGCAAGCATTTATGCATTTATATATACAAAAACAAAAACCAAAGTAATGTGCAAAAAAAGTATTCAAAACCGAAAATAGAAAAAGCACAAATAGTAAAATATATTATGAATATTTACAGATCACATAGTCACTATAAGCTGAATATCACAGTATGTCAATTCCACACTTTCATAGCTTGCCCTCTCTACAAGGTTATGCGTTTCTCTACTCCAGTCGGGGAGGGTGGAAGGGCTTGGAAGGTTAACTCAAAATGTAGCATAGTCTTTACACACAAGGTAAGTCTGTGGGACGTACAGAACAGGGCTCCGTCTCAGCCTCCTCTCACTAGAATTTAGTGCTATTGCTAAAGCTGTCTGACATGATAATGTTTTTGTAGAAGTTGTCCGAGCGCACGGAACAGTAGCCCTTTACCTTGTCCAGGACCTGGTGGACGGGGAGGATGGACGAGGAAGCCTCTCCGTCGGAAGGGCTGCATTTGGGACTGCTCTGATTGGAGAAACTTTTACCTGCAAATATGCCACATATTAGGGAATATACTTATATAGTATAGTGAGATTTAGGAAAAGCAAGTATTGATGGAAAAGTATCTATACACATGCATTCAAGATGTTGATGACAAATGGCACCCAATTTAAACTATTTTTTAAACATACAGTATTGGCTACTTCAAAAGAAACAGGACTGTTTTGTCAATACTTTGACAGTTTGATCATATTAGTTTCCAGTTCATTCAAATATATAAGCGTGAGTCGTTATTTGTTCGTGCTATTCTGTTGAATTTCCATGCCTTTGTGCATTCTTAGGCAAAACATTCCAATGCACACATGCACCTTCAGCCCCCTTCTATAGCACTATACTTTTGTCATTTTTTTTGTGTGTGCAGTGATTGCTTTTTAATGTGCATTAAATTGAACAGCGTATCATGCCCTATTGTGAGGCTCCAGAAAGGTGCTAACCTACAGAATAACACAAAAATTGAAGCACACTTTTGGCATTTCGGACTTATGCTCCCATGTACCATGTTAGAAATTTCACTAAAACAAAGGTCTCAGTATAAAAATAAATATTATTTCACAATACACATATTGTGTAATACTGGCAAACACACAAACAAACCTACAAAAATAGTTTTTGGACCACACAACCTTAAGTCGCTGGGGTATATTTATAGCAAAAGCCAAAAATACATTGTATGGGTCAAAATTATTGATTTTTCTTTTATGCCAAAAATCATTAGGACATTAAGCAAAGATCATGTTCCATGAATATATTTTGTTAATTTCCTACTGTAAATATATTAAAACTTAATTTTTGATTAGTAATATGCATTGCTAAAAACTTCATTTGGACAACTTTAAAGGCGATTTTCTCAGTATTTTGATTTTTTCTGCGCCCTCAGATTCCAGATTTTCAAATAGTTGTATCTCGGCCAAATATTGTCCTATCCTAACAAACCAAACATCAATGGGAAGCTTATTTATTCAGCTTTCAGATGATACATAAATCTCAATTTCAGGTTTTGTGGTCCAGGGTCACAAACAAGTCATATGGTCAAAATCATAAATTAACATACTGTCAGTTGTAATTGATCTAGAACAAAAAAAACAAAAAAAAATTGGGAAATAGGATTTTCCCTTCACTAGGGGGTGCAAGAACATAACAGTAAAAATAGAAACAAAACAAAAAAATTTGACATTTGTAAAATTATACATTTTTTCTTTAATACATCTAATTCATTTATTTGCTTTATTAAATAGAAAGACAGAATAAACTAATCAAAACAAAGGGGTCAATATAATAGCAAAGATTATTTCACAATACACATAATGTGTAATAACGGCCAAAAAAAATAAAAAAATAAAATATTGACAAAAAATCCTTCTTTCTAATAAAAATAGCAAGAAAAATAGAAACAAAAAGTTAAATATAATAAAAATATAAATAAAACACTGATTCTATAATATACTTTGATTCAATTCTTTCACTAGAAAGAAAGAAATCAATTGTAATTAATTGTATTGTTGATTAAGTAAAAATCTAAACCATGCACATTACAATGACTTAATATACTATGTGAACTTTTGAAGACTGTATTTTTAGATAAATTATGCAATTTTGCTCAATTCAGTGTAATGACCAGCACAGTATTCCCTTCATCTCATCATATATGCAAACATAACAAGTCTACAACTCTTAAATCCTAAATGTCTCAGAATTCTACAATGACAAAACTCTGCTGTGCATGACAGTATCTCTGATGTTAAGTGCATTATTAGTCTAATACAGCAAGTGCATATAATCTATCCTCTGCATGTAGAGTGATCCTGCTGTGGGGATGAAGTGTTTACTGTGTATGGTTTTATATATTTTAGTGTCAGCAGTGCAAGCTGTGTATTTCCTCCAGTGGGAACATTAACACTGCCAAACGAAAAGAAAAAAGAACAAAACAAAGGAGACAAATTAAAACAGCCCACCGTGAGAAACATTAGTGTCAAACAGAGTGAAAATGACATTCAGAACTCCTAAAAGACACTAAAGCTTGTCAATGTCTGAGACTGGGTGGGAGTCAAGTCTATAACCTATTATTACATATTTATTCGGATTGAGGTGTTTCCTTGTATTGCAACACTCACTGTGCTAGCAACTTTATTTGCTATTTAACTGACAATGACAACCAGCAGCAGTGTGCTTTCTAGTTCTTGAATGTCACTCCACAACTTGGATTCAATCCAACAGGCAATTATTCCACCATAAAACATCACAACAGATGCCTAATGTTTCCAAAAAGGGAATGTCATATTAAGGACTGTTTTGGAGGCTCAAAAAGAAGCATTGATGTGTTAGGAGTGAGTTAGACTAGATATTATGTCTAGGGCCGCTGGATTGAATTCAGTCTATCCCAACAGGGGAAGCTGATCACATGAATAGAGGAAAGCAGTTTGAACTCAAGCTGGCTTGCATGGATTTACCTCAGGAAGTCTCTCCATGGCATTATTGCAGGGTACTATCTATACCACAAACATAAATACAGACACACAGCACCACTGAGTCCAGATGTACAGTCACACAAAAAGTAACACAGTAGAGCAAAGCACAAAATAACACAAGGCATGAAGGACAATATGCTTATTAAAAATA